TTTGATGTGGGGTTGGCTTGTTTTGCTAGTATTTCCATGTTGTTTTGAGATAATTTTGTTAAAGATTCAATTTTGAGTGTTAATTTGATGTGGGGTTGGCATTGATTGGCTTATTTTACTGATATTTCCATTTAGGTTGGTTATGGTTATGTTAAGGATTCAGTTTTTGAGTGTCAATTTGATGTAGGGTTGGCTTTGATTGTCTTATTTTACTGATATATACCTTTAGTTTGTTATGATTATGTTAAAGATTCAGTTTTTGTGAGTAAATTTGATCTAGGGTTTGCTCTGATTGGCCTATTTTGCTAGTTTTGCTATTAGCTGATCAAAAAAGAAAATAGACTCTGCATGCTCTCTTTGTTCTTTCTGTAAGTTAAATTTCTGTATGTTTGGGATGATTTTATATCAAATATCCAATTTTTGGGTGTTAATTTGATGCGGTGTTGGCTTATTTTATTAATTATCAAGGTGTTTATGGATTTTAAATTATTGTATATTTACGCTTTGTAACTGGACTGATGACAAGAAAAAACAAATAGACTAACTGAACGAGCCCCTTGCATGCACTGCATGTTGTTTCTGTAATTCAATTGCAGTTTGTTTTGGGATACTTATATTGAAGATTCAGTTTTTGAGAGTAAATTTGATCTGGGATTTGCTCTAATTGGCTTATTTTGCTAGTTTGTAAATAGTCTATGGATTTTAAGTTATTGTATCCAAGTTTTTTAGTTAGACTGACTGGAAAAAAAAACAAATAGACTAGCTGAGGGAGCCCTCTCCATGCTCTCCTTTTTGTTTCTCCAGTTTGTTTTGTTTTTGGGGTAATGAATATGTAAAAGGTTTAGTTCATTATACCAGAGCTTCAATTTTTGGGAGTTGATTTGATATGGGGTTCTTCTGATTGGCTTATTTTCTAGTTTTCGATGTAGTTCGTGGATTTATAGTTATAAAGGCATTAGAGACCTCAAACTATAATTAGAGGGAAACAAGAAGGTACAAATTTCATAGGAGACCGTTCGTCTGGTGATTTCTTTTGACAAAAGGTATAATGTTTATAATCATTTTCTTGGTAGTTTTAGAAGTAGCTGATTCGACATGCATTCCCTTTGATCCAACTCCAATCGAACTGCTGGAATAACTTGGGGACTACTAACTGCACCTGGAAAGGTATAGGCGCAATGGCGTTTATAACTGGTAGAGTTTTCCATATGATCAGGAGAGCATGAGTTCGTGCTGTGGAAACAGTCAGCCTCATGCAGAACTGTAGGGTAAGGCTGCATATAGTAGACCCTTGTGGTCTGGCCCTTCCCGGACCCCGCACATTGTGGGAGCTTAGTGCACTGGGCTGACTCTATTGTTAAATTTTCTTAGAGATCTCAATTTTACACCAAAATAAAGGATGTTAGGACATGGCTTGCTCTGTCAAGTGGTAAGCGGAAGTAATAATAATGGACCATTATTCTACATCATTTTCATCTCTTTTTCATTCTAAGCATATTGCTCCCGGACTGACCCTATAGATATCGCAGCCTTCATTAACATTCTCCTACCGTATCCACACTCAACAATAGAAAATCCTTCTCGGGTTTCTGGCCATTCTAAATATGCAATCGTGGAACACAGGATTAGAGACCTTAACTCCTATTTCCGTGTATTTCATTTCAGAGAATACCCTTTCTCTTTCCTTCTAACATTTAACTTGTCTCATCTGATTTATATTTAATCTACTTTGTATCATGCCAAGGTAGCATATGAAAGCCATTAGTTTTCTTTGAATACTAGTAGGACCAAACCACTTAAGGACCTGTTCATGAAGCAGAAGAGAAACGTGGAAAGTTTTTATTGTAAGCTGTATTGGGTTTCTTAGACTGTCTGTCGAGACAGCGAATGCTCTGAAAGGCTTTTCACTTTGTCTCTTTGAATATAGCATGGCAAGAATTGTGGATATTAGGGATCTTGGTTACAAATTTTGGTGAATACTGGGAATTAAAGAACTTTTACTAAAAGATGACCTACTCTTATGCCGGCTCAACACATTACAATGTTTACGGTGGGAACTATATTTTTTACTTTTTTAAATTTAAATGTGACGTTTCCTTTGAATTCAAATACAGAAATGAGTCATAACTCATAACTATGTTCGTCGGCATAAGGATAATCATTCAAACTACCCTATAGGAGTTGTTTCCTTTGAGCTGAGGATCTATTGGGAAACAGCCTTTCTTCACCAAAAGGTAGGGGTAAGGTTTGCATACATACTACCCTTTTGGGATTACACTATGCATGTTGTTGTTGTTGTTAGTTTATAGGAGTTCCTCTGCGCATGTCCTAATCTTTTTTCGTGTTCCATTCTCTGGATAATTTTGTCGAACATGTTGATAATGTGCAATTCTGTGTGTTTGTTTATTATTGTTGAACTTAGTCATTTAGATAAAGCGGAATGCACATACTTATTAAAAGTTGGGGTTTGGGGGGGGGGGGGGGAGGAGGATACACATTCAGTGAACTGCAGAGAGAAGTCGAATGCTTATTAATGTCTTGACTAGTTATGACCTTTTTTTTTGTTATAAAAAAATAAGATGTAACTAGTCAAGACATTAGTATTATATTTATACAAATCCAAGTTCATGGAACCCCATCTCCCACTTCACACCTTGGGTCAATTGCATTAAGTAAAATTTGAAGGGAGTCCATCCTCTTTCGTAATCACCCATTAAGAACCAGTTGCATCAACTAAAATTTGAAAGTTTTCTTTGTTTTGGGATATGACAAGATCTATGCATTGGCTAGATAGCATCCTTTAATAAGAGTAGTCATTTCCATGGGAATTGAAAAGAAGAGCTGAATCGTTGATTTGTATAGTAGGCGTTCCAGAACTATGGACCTAGCTGGATATCATTTGATTTAAAACCGACTCAAAGTGTATTGTACTGTATTTTCTTTTAATGCATGTGTGAGCTTTCTGTTTTCTGCCGAAGCTTTTACATGTTAAACTTGGCATCCCCTATGAGATTTATTGTCAAATGAAACAAAGTATTATAATAAAGCAAGTGATACTGCTATCTTTTCTACCCATGTTAGACATTTTACATTATATGAAGATGAAAACCAAGGAGAATGAGAAGGGAGTGTGTACCAAGAACCCAAAAATCTCTCCTTGCCTTGTTTCAGTTAATACTTAATGTCATTCCAGTAGCTTCTTTTTAGGCACAAATTTTAGAAAATCATTCATCGGTTACGTGAAAAAAATGAGTATGTTTAGGGTGTTTTGCACCCTTATGAACTGAGTACAAGTATGCAATGAATCCTTGTTCTAACGGTGTCGAGTAAGTGAATAGATTCTAACTCAATTTTGAAGTCATTTCTTTTACGTTTATAAGTTAGCAACTTTTCAATCGGTTCATCATTAAAGCTGTGCTTTGAAGAACTTGAAGTCTGAGTCTCTTGTTATGTCTCTAAAGTACAGGGTCAAACATTCATAGACTTTTTTCTGCTCAGCCTCCTTTTGCTAGCTGTTTTATTATGAATATTGATCAAGGTTATTTTTCTTCCTGAACTTTTAAGTTTGTGAGACTAAACTGTTTCTTCAACTGCTAATTATTTATGTAGGTGGGGACAATTGCTCTTCTTGCTTTGACAGGATTGCTAGTCTTTATGGTCTTCTTAGTCGCGGCAACTGTCAACGCCATTATTATCTCTCTTCTCATGTCGTTAGCAGCTGCAGGAGGATTCTTGGCTCTTTTCTTTGGCTGCCTAACTGCAATTTATATTGGGGCTCTATCAGTTGCTGTATTTGTCGTTTCCACTACGACAATTGTAGCAATTTTTGCTGTGATTGTGGCTACAGGTATACAGAAGGGAGTTCGTTTTCTGCTTCAGTTAAAGCACCTTCCTTTTGTTTTTCACGTGTTTTGCTTTCGTATATCTTATGTTTTCCCATACATGAGAGTTTGTCTTCAGCGAGTATGAATTTACTCGTTGCTTATACATCATACTTTTGTACCACGTCATTTACACCCATATTCCAGATTGTTACCTCTCACGGTGCCCAGCTAGAAAAGGATAACGTAAGAGAAGTTAAGGAAATACTAAGTTCCATAAGACCATATATTAATGGTCAAGAACATACCTGAAGTATCACGTTTTTTGCGAGTTTCCTACTTGATAGTCATCCACTATTTATCAAACCACACGTCAACTATTAGTTGTTCACTTTTCCTACATGAGATACCATCTTCATTCAGGTTGGAAGCTCGCAAAAACATGATACTTTAGGTGTGTTTTTACCATTATCTCTATTCTTTACCTTAAACGTATAGGTTCAGAAGTGAAGGTTCAGACTTAAGACTAAGGTAGCGAGTGCCATATAACACATCATTGTTATGTTTTCGGTCTCGTTGAATAAAATGCAAAACGAAATGACTTTCTAGCCACAGTATATCCCCGACACTACCTACATTCACAAACGATAGTTGTTTAGAAATTAAAAAAAAAAATGAGACAGTGTTCAATGGATTAATGTAAACATGAAGTTCTAGAAAACTTTGGTTTTGCAGGGGTGCCATGTTCAGCCATGTCATTCGATCGAGAATAGCTCATTTTTTGTCGGGCAAACTAGTGGAAATTTGATGTTCTCTGTTTTCTTATGTACTTGTCCTTGCTTTTGGAGTTCACTTAACGTGTACTGTCCGCCCTCATAAATGTGTTATCTAGTGACGCTGGAGAACACTAAGTGTGTTGCTTTCTCTACGTTGTTACATCTCTGTGTGTCTTATCTCGTGTTACTTGTGCTTCAGGTTGGATTGGGTTCTTCTGGACTATATGGCTAGCAACAAAGAAAAGTGCAAGTCTTGCCAAACGTTCATTGAACGCGACAGGATCAGCACTATCCGCGTACTCTTCCCCCAGATATGTGCGACCAAACCATGACGCATGATGAACCATGCTTACAATCAAGAAAATGAGAAGGCCACTTCTATGAATAAGTCTTGAATGATGAATAGTACCAACTACCAATATGTATTTAGGCTTTCGTGCTTTAACGCCTTTCGTGATGATATATAAATATATCGTTGGTATTTAAGCTCGTCGTGCATCATCCGTATGCGCGGAGACTAGTGAGCTAAGTTCCATGGGGCCTTTTGTTGTGGTTGGAAACTGGCTTGTAGATTGTGTTCTTGAGAAAATAGATGTTATTGCCAGTTAGTAAGTATTAGTAGTATGTGTTTTTGAATATGTTGAATGAGAATGTAATTTCCTGTTTGTTGAATTTGTGTAATGATGGTTGAAATTATATTACTTTTCCAATATAGAAGAATCTTTTATGTTAATTTTTTTGTGTTGTCAATTCGAATTTCAATCCTCTTAACATCCTGTTACTCGTGTTGTTTCACGATCAGTATAATATGAATGGTGGATTTTCGTATCATTTTCTTGAAAAAGAGGGGCTCCCAAAGAGAATCACCCGAATCAACCAACAAATGATACTCATTCATTACCGGTTCATTCAAATTAAATAATTTTAATCTAAATTTTATATAAGTATTAGAAAAAAACATTGAATTCATATGCCTTATAACCTTAAAGAATCAGAAATATAAATCTATAAAATTCTAAAAATCTTTTCACCTCACAAGAAAACTCTCTTCTATAATTTTATTGTCTTAACTTAATTGGTATGAAATGTAAAAAAAGATACACATAAAAAAACGGAAAAGGGTCTAAAATACCTTTGAAGTATTGAAAATGGTATAAAATTACCTTTCATCCACCTATTGGCTTCAAAATGTCCTTTCCATCCACTTATTCGCTCCAAAATACCCTTGTCATCCACCTTTGAGTTCAAAATTGACCACTTATTTAATAATTTTAAATTTAAACTATTTAAATATTTTTTAAAATACTTGATGCTCAACTATTGGTTATAATTTAATTTATTTGTATTATTTATAAATCAACTCACTACCCACCCATTACAAACTGAATCCCACCCAATTAATAATCCAACTATAATATCAAAATCGTTATAAACACTACTAAAACATGATAAAATTATAGATTAATGAAAATGACATCTAAAATTATTCGAGTCCGAATCGAAGCCCCAATTAAATTTATGTTGAGCCACTTATTTAGGAGGACACTTTCAATTTGATTCTCTTTCAAGATTGAAATTTATGATTAAAAGTAAAGAAGTAATACATTCCGAATTAATTCATGCACTTTTTTAAAATATAATTTTATAAATATTTATGATTTGTTTTAAAAATTTTAATATATTATTTTGAAAAAAAGTTACCTGTGAAGTAACATCACATAATTGAGACGTAAGAATAATTAAGATGAACATAGTCAGACTTTTAAATTTATCGGTAATTATTATTTAGATATTTGAATGTATGATAATTTACTTCTATAGATATTTTCATCTCAAATTTTTAAAACCACTCAATTGGTAGTAGCTAATCTGTTGTTGCATTAATAATATGAGTGATTTATTAATTTGGAGGATTTAATTAGTAATGGATGAATAGTAGTGATTTATAAATTATACTAATAAGTTAAAATTATAACAAATAGTTGAGCGCCATATATTTAAAAAAATAGTTAAATAGTTTAAATATAAAACCGTTAAATAAGTGGTCAATTTTTGAACCAAAAGGTGGATGACAAGGGTATTTTGGACCCAATAGGTGGGTGAGAAGAGTATTTTGGAGCCAATAGGTGGACGGAGGGTAATTTTGTACCATTTCCAATAATTTGAGGGTATTTTAAACCCTTTTCCGTAAAAAAAAATAGACAACTAAAAGAAATTTAAAAAATTAATGAATTTAAAAGTACATATTGAAATTTAGGTCAAAAAGGAGTATTAATGTAAAGGACTAATGTTTGACCTTTATATTGAGTCAAAATGTGGTCCCTTTTGACTATTCCAAAATAGTCAAAAAAGTGAGTCAGAAATTTTTCTAAAATTATCAATTTTAGACCCCAAACTATACTAAAAGTGTATATCAAGCTCGTTTCAAATTCAAGAGTTTCATATTCATACATATTTAGTCCAAAAATAACAAATTTACTTGAAAAAGGAGTTCTTTTCATTTTCAATGTGGTCCTGAAATTATCCAAAAAAGGAAAATAAAGAGAGAATAATTTATAATATTAAAAAAATATATATTTTTACCATTGCAATTTTTGAGTTATTTTTTCAAAAAAAATATATGAAAAATCTGAGTTTTTATATGTTACTTTTGATCCGTTAATATCCTGGTCATTATAATAAATCGTCTCGTATTTGTTATGACATTAAATAATTTTAGTGTGAAATGTACGAAAAAAGACCCAAATTTATCTCTTATAGATCTTCGACAAAAGCTCATAAACAAAAAAGTTTAACATCGAGCAAAACTTGCTTAATTTTAGTGTAATTGGACATAAACATGGTAATAATATATCAAACAAAACGTTAAAACTACATTAGAAAAGTTATCGCGCAAAATATCAAACTCTTTCCAAAATATCAAAAAACCAAAGATTAACAATACCAACCAAAATAAAGTTATATTAGTTTTCTTTTGATCCATTAATATCGTGGTCATTAACAAATCATGTTGTATTTGTCACGACATTAAGTAGCTCGTAATTGTGTATAATGTAATGATATATCACAATTATAATATTAAACTACATTGATAATATATATATATATATATATATAAAATAAGTTATAAAAAAAATACCTTTTTTCTTTTGGAAAATACCAACCTAACTCGATCATGTATTTAAAAAAAAACATATGTTAACCACTTTGGATAAAATATGCATAAGAAACCTAAAGAAAAATTCAATAATACATCACTTTTTTTTCCTTCTCTCTCTCTCTTTTTTTTTTGGCTTTCTTTTATATATAACCTCTTAATATTTTCATATTCATAATGCCTTCTCTCCCATTACAAAATTACAAAAAAAAATAAAAAAATAAATAATGATCTACTAAATCAAGACCAAATTAATTAACTAAAGTTATAATTTCAACGATTTAGTTTTGTCCGTCTTAATAGCAGATGCACATGCTTTGACTCGAACAAGTCGTATTTTTTCTTCATTCATGATCCTTTTCAATCCAATCTGGTCTTCCTAATGTGAATTCCAAGCTTGGATTTTTTTGATGATCCAAATTGGAACCTATATTATAGCTTTTTGGCTTTGATGAATTACATTCCTGCAATATAATGCAATGATAATTAAGTGAGACGTTTACGAAAGATAAATATTAATAGTATCGACGATTACTCTTACATTTAGGACAATTAAAATGTCTGTCCAAAAATCTTGAAAGACAGATAATATGTTCGACAAAACGTTTGTCAATTAATAAAAGAAAAGTTTGTGGGAAAAATTAAATACCTCTATTTGGTGACTTGATCTTTGTTGAGATGGAAAACTATGTGATCTCATAAGGACATTTGCATCATTGGAGTTAGCTTGCAACCATCCTTCTCTACTACTGCAAAAATATTTCAATCAATGTGAGACACTCTAACACCTCTCGATTACCTCGTATGCCCAAGTTTGAACAACTGAAGCGTGGATAATATACCTAACATGATAGGCTTTAGAAAGGCAGATCCAAGAGTTGAATAATATTTATATTTATTTAGTAGACATTTTAACATACACATAAAGTCTGAGCCAAAATTATTAGGTTCGAATTAACCTAAAATTTGTGGGAAACAATGGAGTGCATTGTTACTAATATTTGGGGTATAGAGTAAATACAAAGTCAATACTAATCTTCACCATCTTATGATGAAATTGAAAATCTACCAGATTGACCATCTATACAATTATGAGCATAAAGAAATTAAAAAGACACTTCAATATACAAAATATCTCGTATATACGTAAGATTTGAGAAAAGGCTACACTCAAAAGGTATCACAAATAACTTATCCTAATACAAATACCAATAATTACTTCCACCGAGCGAATCTATGACTTATAAATTATACAAATACAATTTTATTGTTACTTCAAAACTTCCGAACGTTTAAAATTGAAGTGCTTATCAATATGTTGAACTTTCTTTCTTTATATATGTAAAATTATTGTAGACTGGTCAAAGTAAAACTTTTTCAACCTATAGGACAAATAAAAGTCCCTTCTTCCAACTACTCATTTTTTTAAAAAAATGTACAAAATCCTCTTTTAAAAAATCTGCAGATATGGTATCCAATGTTTATTTTGTGGGGATTATATTTTACCCCTAAGTTATTTCCATAATAAAAATAGCAAAAATCATCGATCGAGAAATTTTATAGCTAAACAGAAAATTCATCGCTTATTTCGTATAGTAATAGATTAGCCTTGCATTGTTCTAAAATTATGATAGCTACAAAGTTATTATTGACAAAATTCATAGCTAATTTCAAATATTTTTGTATTAGTAACTTGATCATAATAAGATATGATTTTTTTCTACTTTTAGTAAAATGTAAAAAAAAAAAAAAAAAAAGACAAACACACGTCCACAAAATTAAATAAATATTTCTTTGAGAAAAGCAAAGCACTTAAGTCAATATATTTGTCTTTATTTTCTTGGACTTATTTGCCTCGTGAAGAGAATAACAATAAAGCTAAAAAGAAAAAAAAAGTTAGTTTATTACTCTTTAATAAAAAATAAAAATAAAAAGAAACTCTAAAAATCAACAAAAGCAAAAGAATAAAGAAAAGAAAAGAAAAAAGTGCACAGTAATATCATCTTTGCTTTCTTATCAAAATCCTAATTAAATTACCAATTGAGTACTGTTTTCTCTCTCTGTAATATATGCTAATGGTGTAAAAAAAATTATAATAACTTTTGTTAAGAAATTAACAAACGTTTATGAATAACGACTATAAAACTAACTATTATTATAACATTGACTTGATGTCAAAATTAAAAAAAATAACAAACTCAGACATTTTACAATTAACTATCTTTTCTAGAATATAATAATTGATAACTCAAAATCCATAGTTTCACTTCTACTATCAAATCATCTCTGCCTACTAATTTTGAAGATTATAAATTTCATTTTTTCATATAATGTTACTTAATATCTCAATTGACATAATAATATAAATATTTTTTATAATATTTTAATGTATATAAATTAAAACAGATGAAATACAACATATACGATTAGAATTGGAATAAATTAAAGGAGTTTGAAAGTTGAAAAAGAGGGAAAATGAAACATAACAAAAGCAAAAGCTGCCACAAGAAGTCTTTTTATTCTTTAGAAAAAAATGATGGACGTGGGTTTTGCATATATATATATATTTATAAGAT